CCCCCCTCCCCACCACCCCACACAATCAGGTCTGGCCCAGCCGCAGGGCAGCCATAGCTAGTCCCTGGTGTGGGCATGGTCACCTCGGGATCTCGTGTCCCCGAGCTGGCCACCCACCCACGGGGATGTCCCATGGACCCTGGGGGATTTCTTTTTCAACCACACACAGCCTCCTTGTGCAGAGTGGTGCCACCCAGCCTTGGGAGCCATCATGGCCATGTCCTTTAACGGGACCCCTGGTTCTGTAGGCTGTGGTCAGCAGGTCCTGGCCTGTCCTTTGCCCTTTTCCACAGACCACCCTGAACCCCCAGCTAAACACCCACTTTCCTGGGAAACGTCCTCATCAGGGATAAAGGAGAGGTTGATCTGACTTGCCCCACCTGTCAGCCTCCTTCCTGTCCTGGGAGGAGGTCCTGGCTCTCATTGGATGGGCTTGTTTGAGCTCGGCCTTCACTTCCTCCCTGTGTGGGAGGGAAGAGAGGGTGGTCACATGGAGGTGGGCCTGGCCTGGCCTCTCTCTGGAAGAGCAGCTGCTCTGGTCCGTGTCACCCAGGACCAGAGATGTGAGCTTTGGCCTGGCCTGGCCAGTAGGCAACCACTTGGCACAGGGTCCCCACCTATGCAGCCACGGGAGGGACAGGAACACTGTGCACGGCAGCCAGCTGGGGTCATGGCCACACCCAGGCCCTGTCCAGTGCTGGTCCTGGCAGCCCAGCCCACCTGGGGACAGTGGGTGTCATCCTGCTGTGGGAGGCGGGGTGTACGGCAGGTGGGTGCACATGTAGGGATCTTGGCCTACCAGGAAGGCACCACAGTGGCCCAGGCAGAGACAAGCAGCCTTGATTCCCATAGTGGGAACAGTGACGGTCAGGCTGTGTGCAGGTGGGGGTCTCTGTGGCCCCCATGGCTCTGAGCCAGGGCACAAGTGGCCACAGATGCACGCACAGGGTCTGGCAGTAAGGGTGGGGAGGGCTGGTGGGGGCTCTCACCTTTTTCTTGCTCTCCTAGCCTCACAAGAGAGGCCTGTGCTGCTGTAACCCCCCCACCCCACAAAGGAGAGCGAGGGGCCTGCGTAGATCACATTAGGAGCCATGCCTCCCATGGGCCTGGCAGAGAGAGCCCCTGGCCCCTCCACTAGGTGGGCAGCCTACACCAGGGAGGGCTCAGGACCCACTCCCCGCCCCACGAAGGAGCTCAGTGCATGGGGCTGCTTGCCTCTCCAAGTCTGCACAGAAGTGTGTGTGAGTGTGTTATGGCATCTACATGTGCATGCATGTGTCATGTTTCCGTGACACTGTGCATGTGTGTCTTTGAGCCTATGTGTGCAGGCATGTGTCATGTTTATGTATTTGTGTATGTATGTGTATGTGTCTGAAACAGTGTAGTGCATGTATGTCATGTTTATGTAAGAATCTGTGTGCATGCATGTCTTTGAGTCTCTATGTGCGTGGGTATGTCATGTCTCTGAGAGTCTGTGTGTGTGTGTGTGTGTGTGTGTGTTGGGTCTGAGGCCATGTAGTATGGGCGTCATGTCTGTGTGAGAGCGTGTGTGACTTTAGCCCTGCGCACTGACATCACACAGTGTCATGTGCACTCCACCCCACGAGAACTGTGAAGGCGTGGACTCCGATGGGAGGCTCCGCCCTAAGTTTGTCGCCCAGTGTCTCCTACAGGAGAGCCAGTCCCAGCCCTTTGGACCTGAAACAGACCTGCCACTTGTCACTGCAGGGAGTGGCCCAACTGCTCTGCCCTCTCGTCTTGACACTGCAGGGAATTTCACCGGCTGCAGGCTTCCTTCCCTGCCCTGGCCCGGCCCGGCCCCTCTACACCCCACCTTCTCCACAGCACTCACTCACTCACACTTGGGCTGCCTCCTGGAGGGACCAGGGAGTAGCAGATGCCCCCGTGGGGCTTTCAATGTGGTGCCACGCCTGCCACTCTCACGCCAGCCGAGCTTCCCTGTGCTGTGCATGGGCAGGCCACCACCAGGGGTCAGTTAGCTGTGCCCTCACTCTTTAGAAGGTCTTCTTTATCTGTGCCAAGGAGCCCTGGTGGCACAGTGGTTAAAGCACTGTGCTGCTAACCCAGAGGTCATGGTGAACCTGCCAGCTACTCTACAGAGACAGATGTGGCAGCCAGCCTCCATCACGATTACAGCTAGGGAAACTTGTGGGATGTTTCCCCTCTGTTACGGGCACTACAAGGAGCTCTGGGGGCGTAGTGCCTAAGGCATTTGACTGCTAACCAAAAGGCCGGTGGTTCAAACCCACCAGCCACTCCTTGGAAGGAAGATGGGGCAACCTACTTCTGTAGAGATACTGCCTCAGAAACACAGGGAGGGGTCCATATGAGTCGAACAGACTAGATGCAGTGAATTTGTGTTTTAGGGTTCCCATGCATCAGACTGGACTCTGTGGCTGTAGGTTTTTGGTTATTTTCTGGCCAGACGTGCATACAGAGGGAAGGGGTCGCCCAGACAGAGCCCCAGAGAGCCGCAGGGGCACAGGGCACTGTATGGACACGTTGGACAAAACGACTCCGTGCTGATGCCTAGGGTGATGAACGGTGAAGACCCAGCGGGCGCCGTCTGGGCAGTGAGGGCGAGGTGCACTTGTGAATCAGGTGGTGAGGACAGCGGGAGCCCAGAGGGGTCGGGTCATGGGCTCCAGGAGGAGGGTTGTGTCACTCACTGAGCCCCACATGCTGCAGGCTGACCCTGAAGGCCCCCGGAGTCCAGGAGGCGCCAGCTGAGCACGGCCTCCCGGCTGCTTGCCTCTATCCTCCAGCCGCCTGGCTGCAGCACAGCTGATGGGGTGTGAGGGAGTAAAGACCATCTGGAGCTGGGGGCACAGAGCCAGTGAGTGCCTGAAGGAGGGCAGCAGGGTCGCAGTGGGACCACAGCCGCTTCCCAGGACCTGCACAGGGGCTGGCCCTTCCCCGAGCTCAGGATCCCTGAGAACGGCACCCACCACAAGGCAGGCCCGTGCCTGTGTGCCACGTGCCTTCACCTTGTCAGTCACCATCACAGATCACTGCATACGGGATGGCAGGTGCCCAGCCAGAGCCACTGGGGAGACTGTTCAGGGCAGGGAGGGGGACATGGCGACCTCACAGGGACTGGGGAGGGGTGAGGCCCCCTGCGCCCGGCTCACGAGCCTTCCACGGTGATGCCCCCGGACGTGTGTTTGGGGGAGGAGGTGGGAAAGGGACCGGTCCTCACTCCTTTCAGAGACTGGGTGGATGCAATCATGCCTGTGCCCCCTGGTGAACTCCCCCGGCAGCATGGGGCCGCACACACAACAGGTACAGGTGAGTATGCTGTGACTGAGCCGGGTAGCAGTGACGTCTCCCTATGGCCTCCATCCAGATCGGGGAAGTTTGGTCAGCCTCTGGATCAGCTGTGGAGGTGCGGGCCCAGCTGGTATGGGCCACAGCCAGCAGCACCAGGACAGGTGAGGTTCCGGTGGGTGCCCTAAGGGGTGCGTGAGCAGCTGGGATGCAGACAGGCCTGAGAGGGCATGTGGCCTGCAACCCCCACGGACACCATGAACCTGACCCCCAGGCTCTGGGAGGGCTTGTGGGAGTCTGACCCTCAGAGAGACTGTCTTTCCATGAGGTGGGGCAGAGAGTCCAAGGTCTCTGTCCAGTGTCTGGGCCAATGAAGACCCTGACCCCGAAATCAGAATGAGGTTATGGATCCTGAGTCATCCAGGAGGAGGCTGGAGTCCCGATTCTTCCTGACCTGCTGGTGCCCGAGGAAGGAGCTGCCCAGGGTGCAGCTGCAGGCCAAATGGGAAGTGGGGACATGTCCACTGGCAGGCGGGGCTGGGACTCGAACTCTGAGGGCCAGATGGCCCAAGACCCTGCCCCCTGCTCCTCGCAGGGATGCTCCTGTGGTAGGTATGTCTGCAGCATGGTGAGGCCAGTGGTGACCTTGGGGTGCCCAGCTACACCACAAACTCCTCCAGCGGCTGGCCTTCCCCAAGGAGGTGCAGGGTCAAGCACTTCAGGGACCTCTCACCATGGAGCAGAGACCTGGCGGTGCCACCAGCTGTGGGGTGTCCCCAGGCACAGCCGAAGGTATAGCTGTGTGGGGTGGGCGAGGCCGGCTGGGACCTGTCGTCCAGGCTGCAGCTGTGCTGGTCCATAAGGTCCCAGGCACCAGCCCCTGGGACCTGCGGGTGGAGCACGGGTGTGTGTGGGGAGGACTGAGACCCCGCCTGGCCCTGCACCCCCTCACCCTCAGGCCAGAGTGGGGGCACTGAAACCCTGTCTGCCCCTAAGTCACCTCCCGTAGTCAGAGCTGTTCCTGGCAAAGCTGCAACCAGTGCCAAGGGCTGGCCCCCAGTTCTGTCCCCCACTTAGTCCTTGATGCTGACCTTGACATGACCCCCGCCTCAGTTCCTGGCAGGGTCTCTGCCTGCTGCCCGTAGCACTCTCCCCGACATCTTCCCAGCTCCGGCCCGGCACTCTTTGGACTGCCGTCTGCCCCACGCCCGCCCTCTCCCCAATCTCCCGGGTGGAGATGCAGTGAGCAGGTGGAGGGTGTGTGTCCGCCCAGTGTCCTCTGTGGGGTCAGCGCTCGCCTGGGCGCCCTCAGGAAGCCCCGGGCCCTTGCCCAACCTGCGTGGCCCCTACAGCAATGCAGAGAACCCTGTGGGGAGATGCAGCTATGCTGCCCTGGCTGCCCCGGCTGGGGGCCAGCAGCTTTTACCCCAGGCTCTCGCTCTGGTTCTCTGGATGTGGGTTATACCTGGTCCAAGCTCTGAGAATAAACTCTGAGTACCGTGGTGTGTGTTGCCATTCGGGGGAGGGGGGCGGGGCAGAGATCAAGAAAGCTCCTTATTTAAAGGGGAGGGGCTTGTCCAAGTTCAGGTGGCTGTGATGGCTGGGGCACCAACAGCCCCTTGCTGCACAGACCTGGGGCTTCTTACCACACCTGTGTCTGCCCTTCCCTGTAGCCAAGGCCTTCGTACCTGCCCTTACCCACAGCTCCGATCCTGTGTCCATCAGCAGGGGGCCTCTGAGCCAAGACCCAGAAGGGCAGTGGGTGCCTCCCCTCTGGCTGACCTGGGTCTGCAGCCCTCTTGGGCGCCCCCACCCCCGGGGCTTCAGCCCTTCTCCGCCCCCCCCCCCCCCCCGTCTGCATCCTTTGGGATGACTTGAGAAGGAGGGACCCCCTCTACCAGACCCCAGGCTGGTCCCTAGCCCTGCCCACACCCTAGGGCCGGGCATCAGGCCTTTCTCCATTCCTCGCTGGGTCCCCAGGCCACCCTGCAGAGCCCACTGCCCCACCTGCGGCCTCTGCTCCTGGAGCCCCCAGCTGCCTGACGCTCAGCCCAGGATGGGGGCGGGGGCTGCAGGGGAGGGAGGAGCAGGCGTGCTCCAAAGGCGGCCCACAGCCCCAGACTCCAGCAGGGCTGAGCTTTGAGGGCTGCAGACAGCCCGGCCAGCGCCGCACCTGTCCCTATGGGCCTGTGCTGTGTCCTAAGAACCTCAGAGAGTCAGCCAGGCCTCAGTGTGGCCCAGGGGGCAGGGAGGACGAGGGGCCTGCCCACTGTACCTGGTGCAGGGCCTCGGAGCACTGGCCGGGCATCTTGATCAGCGTGACCTGCACCACCCCCAAGGACTCCTGGCGAGAGCCTGTGGGGTGGGGTGAAAGAGGGTAGGAGCAGCCAGAATGGTGCAGGGGATAGCTCCCCACAGCACCCCTGCACCTGCCTGGGACAGCCCCTGCACCCACATACCTGCCCTAGGACAGCCCCCCACACCCATACACCTGCCTCAGGACAACCCCCAGCCCTGCACCTGCTGGGGCTCTGCATCCCCACTGGGGTTCTAAGTGGGAGGAGATGCCCCTCCGTGGCCCTGACTCAGACCAAGGCCCTTTTCAGCAAGTACACCCCTACCCCCAGCAGAGTCCGTACCCAGGGTGCCCTGACCACATGTGCCCTCACAGAGACCCCAGGCCCAGCTCTGCCCCATGGTGTGGTGACGGGGGCCCTGGGAGGCTGTGTGCCGACATCACAGGCGGCTTTACCTGCCCTGTCCTGGCTTTCGCCTCCTGGAACAGACTGGATCGGTTCCACGGCTCTGGTCACTCCCTTGGTGACTGCACTCTCAGGGAGGGTCCCTGGGAGCTGGAGGGGCCTACCACTAGCAGCTGACAACCACACACTCACCATCCTCTTGGTCCTGGGCAGCCCCCTTGGCCTGGCCTTGGCCGCCGCCATCCAGCCTGGAGCTGGCATGGCTGCTGGAACCCTCTGTGTCCCCGAAGGGCTCGTCCACAGACATCTCCCCTGGTGTACATCGGGAGCTGTGGCTGCTGTCGGCAGAGTGCACGCTGCTGCCGCCGCTGTCCTGGGAGTGCCGGCCAGCCATGTGCCGCTCCAGGGTGTCACTGACGTACGACTCACAGTAGTGCTTCCTCTCTGCACAGGGTATGGGTGCCGGGCAGGGCATGCACAGAAAATGGCAGAGGGAATGGGGAGGGGGCAGACAATGCACTCAAAGGCAGGAACTGCTGTGTCGGCCCCGGCTCCTGTCAGCTGCCCACCAGCACCAAGCCGCGGCAGGAAAGGCAGCCTAGGAAAGGCAGCCAAACCGTCCAGTGCATAAGAACAAATGCACACACATACACCTTTACACACCACATAGCAACCACATACAGTGCACATGTGTATTACACATATACCACACCCCAACCCCTGAACACAAGTCACACACACTACACATGCATGTAGCACACGTTGACACACGACACAGCAACCATGCACACTGCACACACACCACACACACCACACGTGTCACACACACATTATACACCACACACTGACATGCACTGCACACACACCAACCATGTACACTGCACATGCATGTAACACACATACACACACCACACAACAACCACACACATTGGACACACCACACACACTGTACACACATGTAACACATTTGCATACCCCACACTAACTGCGTACACAGCACACACACATACTACACATGCACGTAACACATATACACACGCCACCATGCACACTACGCAAAATACATCACACTCACACATGCACTCACATGGACACACACTCACACACGTAGTGGGACTCCAGAGCACTCTCTTTAAGGAATTTCAGGTGAAGACTATGAAACAGAAATGGAAGGAGGCCCAGCGCCGGGTAAACTGAACCCCAAACCTCCTGTAGCCTGCTTTTCTGGGTGCGTGTGGCCGACAGGTGAGCGAGGGCAGGCGGAGCCCAGACAGGGACTTGTATTTCTGACCCATGTGTCACAGCGCCGACTGCCTGCCCACCGTGGCCCCTGCAGGCCCCTGACCAGCCTTCGCCAGGCCCCCAAACCCCCAGCTCCAAACAGCGCTGGGGAAGTGGTCACCACCACCCACCAGCTAGAGCACCTGGTGCCACAGGGCCAGAGCCTGGCCCGCACAGGGAGGGTGCCTGTGTCAGCGGCCCAGCTCCCCAATGGCCCGGCGCAGCCCGGGCCGCGCGCCTGCCGCCTGCCGCCTGCCGCCTGCACCCACCTTCCGCCGCCTCCAGCTGCTGGAGCTGCCACAGCCGCGGCCGGACGCTGAGGTGCAGCTGGTGGCTGGTCCTGAGCAGGCGCAGCAGGTGCCGTGAGCGCCGGGGGCAGCCGGTGTAGTAGGTCAGCTTCCGGGCCGAGGGCAGCCCGTCCGGCTGGATCTCGAACCTCTTGCCCTGGAGGGGAAGAACAAAGGTGCCGCCCTCGGTGAACAGCAGCCCCGCAGAAAGCCGTGCTATTTCAGTACGCAAATTTGCCTTCCACCCACATTTGCCCAGGCGTTGGCAGCTGCTGTGACCCAGGCACACCGCTGTGTAGGGATTATGAGAAAAACACTGTGAAAGGCAGAAGTTAACTGCTTGGCTGCTAACGCAAAGGCTGGCTGTTCGAGTCCACCAGAGGGGCCTCGGGGGAAAGGCCTGGTCATTCACTTCCAAGAAGGTCAACCACTGAAGACCCCGGGACACGCAGTTCCACTCTGACACACTAGGGCGCCCTGAGCCGCCATCAACTTGACAGCAGCTATTTGACAGAAGGCAGCTGCCTGTGGTGGAATGTTCCACATCAGCCTGCCACTGTAGGGGGGAGAGGCCCAGACGCTGGGCACCGAGCCCCGGGACCCTTCACCGGCGCAGGGAGGAGGGACCTGCCTTCAGCCGTCAGAGTCCCGCACACTCCTGGCCCACGGGCAGCAGGGAGGCCTTTGCTGGGGGACCGAAAACCAGACCTGCTGCCGTGCGGTGGACTCCGAGTCCTGGTGACCCTGGGAGCAGAGTGGGGCTGCCTCCAGGGTGTGTGGAGCAGAGCTGGCTAACTGGCGCCCGGTGGAAGTGGGTGGCAGACCCGGGGCAGGCCTGGCATAGAGCCGGCGTGTGCCCTGGAGTGAGCCACGTGCCCCTGTGTTCTGTGTGTGCCTCACTGGGCAGTGCCAAGGCCCAGGTGACAGATCAGGTGACCAAGCCTGTAGCTGCCTCCTCTGGCCTGTGTGAGGGACCCTGCGCCTGGGAGACACCTACCAGGAATGCCAGCTTGCCAATGTGGGACCAGGGGAGGTCGTGGAGCAGCTGTCGGCTGTGGGTCACCTCCTGGGAACCAGCAAAGGGGCGTCAGCAGAGAGGAGGGATGGGGGTGGGTGAGGAAGAGTGGGAGGGGGCAGAAGGGGAGGGGGGAGAGAAGAGAAGAGGGGGAGAGGCGGGGGGGGGGGGAAGGCTCCCGGTGTGAACAGAGCCTGTCACCTGGTAGATGTGCACCCCCTTGAGGGTCAGCCCCAGGACAATTGTGGGTGGGTCCTCCTTCTTGTCCTAAACACACAGGGAGGGAGAAGTGGAGAGCAGAGGGTCTGCAGAGGGGCTCGCCCGGCCAGGGTGCCCGTGTCCCTCTGAAATGCACTGAGGCCCAGGCTTTTCATGGCCACCCGTCCCCAAGGGCCCTGCCCTGCCTTGCCCGCTTTCTGAAACTTGAAATCCAGTTGCCAATGTGGTTTAATTCCCTCCACCCTGTGGACTACATGCCGGTCTGCAAGCTGCTCAGGGAGGCCTTCCTGAGAGCAGATGGCTTGGGGTGGACACCTGTGGGAGCATGGGGCCGGCCATCATGGACGGCACATTTATCCTGAGTCAGAGGTCACGGTCAGGGCTGAACTGGTGGGTGAGGGTCAGGTCATGTGCCGACACACAGGAGCTCCACAGTGACCATCCCTGGCAGGACTGCCACCTGCTGTCACTGTCATCACACCGAGCCCTGGGTTGAGGACAAGGGTGGCCCAGAGATCTCGGCCAGGATACCTGCTGGAGGGCCCAGTGGGCAATGCTACTGAGGAGCTGTGTCTGAGGGAGGAGGGGTGTGTCAGGGAGGGGCAGGAAGGCCAGTTTGCTGAGCTCACGCCCCCGCTCCACAAAGGATGACGGACAAGTGCCTATGTCTAAGCAGACTGACCAGTCTGAGAGTGTCCTGCCCCAGGTCCAGTGGTGGGGGGGACCACTCAGGTCAGTTCCCCCTGCAGGTGCTGTGAGGACCAAGGTGGTCCAGCCAGGGCACGGTGCCCACCGTCCACCCCTCACCACAGAATGGACAACACTCTGCTCACCAAGCCACCCACCTGGGCCACCACCTGAGTGGTCCAGGAAGCAAACACACACACACACATGCACACACTTGTGTGCACGCAGGTCCAGAGATGCTCGTGTGACACATGTGCACACACACACACACATGCACAAATATGCTCACACGCACATGTGTGTGTGCAGAGGCACATGCACACATATGTGCATGCACATGCACTCACCCAAACATGCACACGTGCACACAATCTTCCTGGAGCTCAGCACCATGCCTTGCTGTGCACAGCCCCCTGCCCGCCCTGGACCCAGCTTGCCTGGGGAAAGACCGCCTTTCTGCAGCTCTTTCCGAGTGAGCATCTCACTTACTGGAGACTGGGTGAAGGACTCACAGCTCCTCCCTCAGCACCTGACTGCCCCGGCCCACTGCCAGCCACATGCTCAGGCTTGGGGTCCAGCAGACCTGGGCTCAGATTGGTTCCTTGTTTCATGGCCTTGGTTAAGCTACATGACCCCTCTGAGCCTCAGTTTTTCCACTTGAGGTAGGAGGCTAACAGCCTGCTCCCAGGACTAGTTGGGGTGGTGCACGTGATATGGCCCAAGGCTGGTTCCTCACATGTTGGTGGGGGGAAGGCGGCAGTGGGCCCCTGGGAGCCCTGGCCTCCACAGTGGCCACTGACCTTGTGCAGCCGGAAGAAGTGGACAGGCACGTCATCCAGGCGGCAGGCCTCCTTGATGAAGCGAAGCACGGCCTCCCGGGGGTTCAGGCCCCGCTGTTCCCGGTGCATGGCTGGTGCGTGCCGCAGCACATAGGCACTGCCCCACTTGGCCAGGATCTGGGGAGGGACCAGTCAGTGGGTGCTGGCCCTGCCCGTCCTCAACGCCCTCCGAACTCCTTCACAGAACCCTGCAGCCCCCAAGCAGGTGACCATTTTTACAGCTGGTGGTTGTGGACAGGGCAGCCCTGACCAAGGACAGGCTTGTGCATTGGTCACCTTGTGTCTACCCCACTAGCCTCATGGGAGCAGAGAGGACACGGTCTTGTGCCTTCATGGAGGAAAAGCAGAGATGCTACTCTGTTCCAGGCCCCCTGGACTTTCTTTCTGCTGCCCCATGGACACCACCTCCAATGACCCAGCACAGTCCATGGGGGGGCTGCAGAGCTGGTTCTAGTGTCCCGACCCTGAGAAGCCAGTGCGGGGTCTTACCCACTGTGGAAAGTAGGCGTATGGCTCAAAGTACCGGCCCACGTGGGCTGCCTCACGGTGGTTGCCCAGGTCAGCCTGCAGCCCCAGGGCGGCCAGCAGGAAGTAGACCTCCTCCTGGTGAACACACTCAGACCGCAGCACCTGCTCCTTCAGGTGGCAATAGTACAGGTGCCGGGCTGTCCTGTCACTGGGGAGGGGGCATCAGGGCATGGTGAAAGGCCACCTGTGCAGGCCCATCCAACCACCCAGACCTCTGTCCGCCTTGTCCAGGCACTGCCCCACCCACTGTGACATCCCTAGTGTCTGAGGGACTCTCGGGGCCCCCTGCATTCCACTGAGCAACCAGAATGAAGCCCACCCAGGTCTACAGATGGCCCACTCCCCACCCACGAAGCTTTCCCTGCCCAGGCCCAGCGACAAGCAACACGTATAGATGAAGGCAAGGAAACACCGTGCAGACGGCACAGCTGCGGTTTAATGGCCTTCCTGACCAGAGGTACCCACCCTGGGGAATACAAACACCCTGTGTTTGAGGAACTCAGCTTCATAAACAGTCTAAATACTTCAGTCAAAGGAATTACTGTCTCCCTTCAGAACAAACAAACCAAACAAACAACTGATAGAGTGCTCTGTTTTCATAGTGATCTTAAGTTTACTTGTATTTTGCCCTGGTAGACTTTTGCTATCCCAGCAATGGCCTTTAAGAAATCAGTGAACACTACCTTATAATCCTTCCATTTTCCACGTAGTACTGTACTCTGAGGAAGGCCACGAAAGGGGCATGAGATTTCTCACCTCCCTGCTGGACAAGAGAGAGAAGAAACAAGGCCACACGCATGAGCCCCAGGGAAGGGTCCACAGCAGGACACTTCACTAGGGGGCAATCAGTCTCAAACTATTTTATACCTAGCTCAACACTCATGCTCAGGTGTCACTCAGGTGGCACTTCATTACTTTACCTTTGTTTTAAGTACAAAGTTAAGGTGTGTAGTCAGGGGCATTCCTACTGCCATGTGGCTGAGTTGGTTCACCTGTTGTTCCCATATCCGACTTCCAGGATAGGCATGACTATGACCCCACGGGGACATGTTAGGGAGGACACAGGATCATGGGCCAGACCACGTATTTCCCAGACAGACCACCTTATCAGCAGGGTCAGCCTGCAGACAAGTGAACCACAGTGCAACAAGGGGCCATCCTAGCCACACACTGTCTGCTGGGTGCCCCTTGTGAGCTAGTCCAGCAGCCAGAGTGACCACCACCCTAAAGTCTCCCACCCAATCCTCCTACCTGAGGCCCTGTGAGTTCACACTTACATTATGTGTTACTTTCCTCCAGTCCCTTGAGAAGTACTTGCTGAGCTTCTGATCCAAGTCCATAAATATATACTCATTGTCTGAAAAAAACAAGAGAGTAGCCTTCCTCAGGGCTGCCTGTCACTCCTATGCGTTACAGTCTCTTAACAGCTGAGTCAGGCTGAGACTGACCCTGTGCATACAACAGACAGTCACATCAACTACAATAGCCTATGCTTGTTGTCTTAGGCTGGTGGTCTAAAAGGTATGTGGAGAGATTTCTGGATGTCAAACACTGCTTGTTTTACTAAAATGATCTTCCAAAATTTAGGAAAGTCATGAGACAGTTTGAAACTGAGATGTGGTACTGAACACAAACTTTGGGAAAACAATTTGATGATAGATGTCCAAAAATTCTTACTCAGCCTAGTAACTCTATCCCAGCCATAGAATACCAAAAACCACACCCACTGTCATGGAGTTGATTCCACTCACAGCACCCCTAGAGGACAGGGTGGAACTGCCTCAGAGGGTGTCCAAGATGGTAACTCTTTGTGGAAGCTGACTGCCTCATCTTTCTCTCATGAGTGGCTGGTGGGTTCAAACTGCTGACCTTTAGGTTAGCAGCTGAGTGTCTTAACCACTGTGCCAAGAGCTCCTAGCTGGAGAGCAAGTCATTTAAAGAAGTGCCGTTGATCCTCATCATGTGGGAGTTCCACATCTGCGAGTTTGCCTGCTCACTCCATTGATCTATAGCCCAGCCAATACTTGCCATGCTCACTTTAGTGGCCACTCTTGGGCATGTGCAGTGGAGCAAGTACTGACAAGCGTTCCCAGCTCAGCTCAAAAAAGGCGGGGCTCGACCTGCGTGGTTCAGCCTTCATGCTGCAAACCAGGGTCCTTGTCACAGTCTGTTTACTCCCTGTTATTGGCAAGTTTGTGCTTTTGGCTGGTGATGTCACTGTCTGAAGTGGTTCCAGGCGTAGTGCTGAAGTGCTGTCTGGTGCCCTGAGGGCAGCAAGGCTGGGACGCTCTGACATGCGTGCCCAGATCAGCTCTGGGGTTAGGGAGGAGTTACGGAGCTGCTGGCATCAGCCCCGTGCTGCTGAATCAACCACTCATATTAACCAGGCATCTTTCAGAAGAGACATGGCAACAAGGCCATTTGTGGTGGGTTAATGAAATGTGGTGGGCCAGACTTGCAGGAACCTACCCTGGGTGCCCCTGGAGCGGCAAGCGGTGCAATTGCACTGTGAGTCTGTAGGATGTAACTACCAAGGACAACGAGAAGAAGCTGGATCTGTAAGTCCAATACAGAATCAACCATCTTAAAGGGAACACCCTGGGCCTTGAGGTGCTGACCTGGCTCCAGCGGGGCGGGCTGACCAGAGCAGCTACTTCTGAAAGCCTGCATTCTGTGTTTGCACTGTTGCAACCAGGTGTCTCCTTTATAACCTGGCAAAGATGAAACAACTCTCCTGGAGAGAAAGGGGAAGCCTAGACAGGCCGGCACTGGTATAAAGGCTTGGTGCCCAGAACCAAGACTGTAGACAAACCTCCACGAACACAAGAGCCAGCCATCACCCATGAAAACCCAAGTGGCGTTGCCTGCAGGCCAGCAGAGCCCGGGTCCTGCGCTTGCTTGGCCAGGTCTTGGAGAAAGGCTGGCACCTCACACTTTGAGGTTGTTGTCACCCTTTCTTGGGTCAGTGACAACCCTTACTTCCCCTGGTAACCAGCAGAATTAGAGAACTAGCAGAGTGAGCTAACACATGTGCTGGACCCAGTATTGGTGGTAGTTGGGGTAGGGCTCCTGGGACTTCTAGCCCTGGCTGCTCCTAAGTCTATGATGCCTGGGGGCTCCCTGCGGGCCAAGGGATGAAGAGCCCAGGGGCAGCCACAGTAGCCCAAGCTTGAAGGTGGCCTTTAGGGAAACAAAGGCTCCAGTCTGCCCCCCACCACTTGTCCCTTGATTCTCCCTCTGTGTCAACAGTGACGTGTGTGTGTGTGTGTGTGTGTGTGTGTGCATGTGCATGTGAGGGTACACTTAGCTCACAGGTTCTCCTGAGTGTATTGCGAGGATGCTTGAGGGTCATGTTTGCAGCATGTATCTTGAGAACCACCGATGTCAGCACTGAGAACAGCTGTTCCCACTGGGCACTCTGGCTCCATGCTTGTCAGTCGTGGACGAGGATACTGGGCTCAGTGGGGCAGGGACATACACCTTGCCCCCACTCACTGTGCACCTGGGGACCCACAGCTGCTCTCCTGGGGACCAACACCCTCTCCCCCTTCATCTTTGCAGTTTCCAGTTGAGGCAAGGGGAGCCACACATGGCGAGTGTGAGAGTCCTACCTCACCATGTCCTTGTCATCCCCTCACCAAAGTGCCTGAGAATCAGAACCTCCCTGCCAGGGATTGAAATGTGTCTGGAAAAATATGTGATTCTCAGTGGTTTGGCAGTTATGTAATGATGTAATCATGCCCCATAATGTGTTCTGATGTAATCAACCAATCAGAAGGGTGGGATGGAACACCCTCACTGATCTGATGTAAGAGGTGCTTCCGGGGTGTGGACTGCACCTCGTTTGTCTTACAAGAGATAAAAGGAGAGAGAAGTGAGCAGCGGAGGGACCTCAGAGCCATTGAGAAAGAAGAGCCAGGAGCATTGCGTGTTCTTTAGACCCAGGGTCCCCATGCTGAGAACCTCCCAGACCCAGGGGAGGATTGATGCCAAGACACATGGAGATCTCCAACAATGTAGATGTCTAAAGGAGACGGGGACCTTCCCCCAGAGCCGACAAAAGCAGAAAGCCTTTCTCCAGAGCAGGTGTCCTGAATTTGGACTTTCAGCCTCCTAAACTGTGGGAGAATGTATTTCTGTTTGTTGAAGCCACCCCCTCTGGTATTTCTGGTACAGCAGCACTGGAGACTCCCAGTGCTCATGACTTCACTATGTGACCTGCTGGCAGGAGGCCGATAATGGGCCTACGTCCCCCAGATCTAAGGGAAGAGCAGAGACCTGCAGTTCAGGCACCAGGAGGGTTAATTTGCCTCCAGGTGCTGCCAACACAATGAAGCTAAGTGTGAGGTTTCCTGCCTGTCGCTGTTCTAAAATATGTTTCATCTGCTAGCATGGTGGTGGTGTCCACCGTCTGCCTTGCAGGAGCTGTGGGTAGAGGCCCTGAGAAGACTCAGCTGCCCCTGGGGATGAGGGAGCCAGCCTGGTGGCCAGGATGCACTGAAGGAAGGAGCCTGGGCTCCACATACCAGACATGGCACAGGCCCTCCCTCTGCCCATCAGAAATTCATCCTGCATTCCAGGCTTAATGAAATGCTCAAGCCAGAAGGAGTTCCACTGTCCAGAGTCCAGGGTCAGGAGAGGCCACCTTCCCCGAGAACCACAGGGCCCAAAGAAGGTCTACTAGAGCCTTGATCTGCTCCTCACTCAGGCCCCAAGGTCAACAGTGAAGGCTGGACGGGGCTGTGTGCTGTCCCTAGCCACCCGTCAGGGAGACCCTGGGTCTGCCCCCACCCTTCTCCACATGCAGGGGCCCTGGCACCATGGCTGCACCAAGAGAAGACATAGGACTTGTGATGGGCAAGGACAACCTGAAGAGACAGACAGACAGAAAGATAGATGAGGGCCAGTGTACAGGGCAGGAGAAGACTGGGGGTGGGGGTCAGAGCTACACTCTCCAGTGCCAGAGGCCCCTCAGAACCTGTGTCTCTGTTCCAGGCTGACCTGTCGTCCGTGGTGAGAAGGAGGGACAGACACATCCTCTGATACCACCTGAACTCAGCCACCGTCACCCTCACCATGTGGAGATACCCCCTCAGATTCAGCCCCTGTCCCACCACACAGGGCCACACGCCCTCAGAGACTGCCAGCACCCCCCCCCCTCAGCTTTAGCACCTTCTCAGCCCTGAGTCCCCGTTGCAGTCACGCAGTGGTCCATGGACACCTATGGATCTGATGAAAAGTCCAGTCCCCTCAGTGAGGCCAGTCAGACCCAGGGGTAAGGGCAGGAGTGAGGGGCTGTGGTGAGGATGGGAGACCCC